TCAGTCATTGGACTGATAGAGTTCAAGTTGCCTGGTTGTCTATCATGATATAATTCAATTTAGAAAAAATTCTATAAAGTGAACCAAATAAAATTGTTCTAATTATATCTGCTAGTGTTGGCAACTGGAAAACCCCACATAAGCTATAAGGATGTAGACAATGGACGTTACCTGGTGTCAGGTCTTCCAAACGGAATACAGATCAAACGGCCATCCAGCTACAGTGTAGCAAGTTTAAGAACAATTTAAGCAGAAGGGAAAGATATTACATTTTCAGGTAAGTATGAATTTCATTACAAAAAGAAAAACAATATATATAAATATAAATTTTATCTGCCGGTATTGGCAACTGGAATACCCCACATAAGCTTAAAGGACGAAAGACAGTGGACATTATCTGTTGTCAGGCTTTCAGTGGATTCAAACTCAAACAGCTATCAAGCTACAATGTAGCCAAAAGAAACTTTTTTTTCAGAATGCAGAGAAGATGATGAGGACATGAGTGTAGATGAGGGTGAAGAAATAACGGTTAGAGATGTGGAAGTGGTAGAGCAAGGTAAAAGTGAAAATCATTTTTTTTTATCCTTCAATGAAGGAAAGTGAGAGCTTGCATGAAACATCTCATTTATAGTACCATACCTTAAAAACCACTTATCAGTCAAAACATACTGATAATTTTTTTCAAAATTTAGTTATAACAGTCAGGTGGACTTGGTACACCATGTATGTCCCAATGGTTAGATTTCAGCATGTAAAAAGGTCATAACTGCTTTTTTTCACTAGAAATAACCATTACAAAATCATACAACTGCAAATAAACTAATTTTTCTTTCTCAAATAAATTTCAGTTACTCAAATTTGCTAGTTAATTGATGAATTAATTTAATTATCTTCCTTTCCTTTATGAATATTTATATAGTATTAGTCTTCATGTTCTGGTATTGTCTATGTATATAAATAGCATTAATACCTATGCCTAATTGATTAATATTGTGTATAGTATCATTTGTAAGACGTCAAATATGCTGCAATTATATATAAACTATAACACTACATAAGCATTGTGTTAAAATCTCGGTCATTATTTTCTTTGCATCTGGGAAGTTAAATATGCAATGCCAACAATTTTACTACTAAAAACACCGATTTGGAAGGCGGCCAACGTCTTAAAGATCTTCCACCACAGCAATATTCAAATTCAGGCCCCAAAATTGGCATGAGTTTTCTGTCATACCCTAGAAGTGAACCTGTCACACAAGCAAGTCATCAGAAAATGATGATACAAAATATTGCAAATAAACATAGTACGGACAGTTATATGATCACAAAACAACAAATAACAAAATAAGTACTTGCATTAGCATTGTTTTCTAACATAACAGTCACTCATCATTAGACCAGTCAGTATAATAACTGTGTATTTTACTGTGTGCATGATTTGTGATATACTGAATGTAATACAGTAGGTACTATATTTACTCTACTGATATGCAATTGACTACAGAGATGTTGACAAAATGAAATCACAAACACACTACAATTATTCTTTTTAGTGGTAGTTGTCAACATTTTTATAATCAATAAAAACATAACAAATTGCATAACTGACATTTTGAGTGCAAAAATCATTATTTTCAGAGGAAAACATGTGCAACCCAATAAAGGATATAGTATTGTGTATTTCAATATGTTAACACTAAAATCACACAAAACACTTTTAGGGCTTTAGAAAAACATTTTGCCTTATATTTCGAAAACAGTAAGATGTCAGTTATGCAGGCTCTTTTATTGTGGAAGTGCAGTATACGGTATTTATTATGCCCAATATTTCTAACTGTATAGGGATTTATTAAACAGAAGAATGAATGGTATATTCTCACTTGTTGATTAAATCAGTCTCAGCTGTTCAATTTTAAAGATGTTTTTTATTGTAAACATTATCAACTTACTATGAAATAATTTTTTTCCCAGAATGTAGAACAGAAGTGAGCAAAAACATAAGTGGGAGAGAGGAGGAAATTATAAGAAAGGAATCTGTAGGAGAGCTACAAAAAGAGGGTAAGTTTTCATCCAAGTGTTAAATTTTCAGTAGGCATACATATCTTTCCATCTGCATTTTTTGTTGAATTGAGGTTTGAGGATTGGTGGGTATCTCATTGTTTATCAGCATAGGATGCCCTTCTCCATCCCTTGAAAGTAGCAGAGGGATAGTGTTTGGTTATGCCTCTTTTTATAAATTCCTGATAAACCTATGTTTTTAAAAAAAATTATTTTTTAACAAAATAATTGTTATTTTTGGGCTTTTCTTAGCACTTTCTCAGGTTGTAATGTTGATGTTGTTAGGGTTGATTCAGGGAATATAATCCAAGGGAAAGTGAGGTTGTATTTTAGGTGGTTATTGCATTGTTAATTAACATTCTACATTAATATTTCCTAATGCATGATATATAAAAAATATACTACTGCCAGTATACAGTATTTTTTATAGAATACAATTGCCTATCAAAACTATATTATTACAGATACTTGCATTCATTTGCTGGTCGTTGTTTCGTCTTTGTCTACCCTAGAGCTGCACTCATGATGAGGCCTAAAAGGCCAAAACAGATTTTTTTCCCTCATGGATATTTGGATTATTTTGTCATTCTGATCGGATTTTCTCTACTGTTATGTTTGAAAAATATTTATAATTTATTTTCAAGTTATGGCCCTGGCAAAAATATCCTATAGGATCCTATAGGATGCTATAGGACAAAATCCTATAGGATCCTATAGGCCCCTTTAGGATCCTACAGGCCCCTATAGGTTACATATACTTTTTTATGAAAACTGGTTTACTAATGGGTTTTCAACTGGTTTCCAACAGGTTTCAATTCCAACTGGTTCAACTGGTATTCAAAAAGTTATGAGGTCCAACTGCTTTTTCCACTGGGTTTCAATTCTAACTGGCAAACTGTTATCATTAGTAACTCTGAGTTGCTGCAATATCTATTTACTGTACTTACTCTATCGCCAAAATAATTTAAACAACATTTTTGTTAATACTTATTAATGTGCATTTATTATTAAATTCCACCAACAGTTACAATTATAACATACTCTGACCATTAAAAAATTATTTATCATATTAATATCTAAATGTAAATTATATATTTCTTTAATACATTCAATGCAATATTTTAAATTTAAGAAAATACTGTATTTTTAAAAATCAATGCACATTTACATTCTATATTTACTCTATACTCATAACAAGATCTATAGTATTAGTCATACAATGAATTAATAATATATATAAAAAAAAAACAATGCAGTTACAGTATTACTACTGTACACTTTAATTACATTGTGTATAGTGAGCAAATTTAAAAATACATTAAGGATTAAATTAAAAGATTATAGATGATTACAATACAATTGATTTATTTATTTAAAAAAAAAAAAATTACTGAATTTAGAAAATATAAATAAATCAATTATGTGCACTTTGCAGAAAGGTGAACTAAAAAACAAAAACAATCAACAGATCAATTAATAACTTGTCAATTATCTTTTGTTAAGTGAAGTACCGATCGAAGTGGGAGCTTTCTACAGCTTTCGCCTCCTTGGTATGGCCGTACGATTACAAATATTGTTGCTTTTTGAATCAGTCCTGAAAAAGAAATTGAAATATCAATTATTATTTCAAGAAAAAAAAATATAACATGGTTCAACTTGATTTAAAACAATGGATTGCTAGATACTGTATAGTGGCTTTCAGTGGCTGTGAGCTCTTATAATAATAAAATAATAATAGTAGACGTAAGGCGAATAGAAAAATTTGTTAGATTAAATTTGGGAAATATTGATGTGGGAATAAAAAAAATGTTAACAGATTTTTAAAAATGATGCAATTTTTGAATGGAAATACATTTTCCTTAAAAACAATAAAATTAAACCAGTTTTTATACAATACTTACAATATTCTTGCCAAATAAAAACAGTCCCTCTCATCAATTAAAAAAAAGCAATAATCTAATTTAGTTTTTTGATTTTTTTTTTAAAGTGATAATCTAATTTAGTTTTTTTCTATGTGCCCTTACATTTGCATATTGTTAGGCCCTCATTGGATTAATGCCTATGGAACACAAAATTTAATCTTGGGGGAGTATTCCATAACGCTGCAGCAGGTACATCAGCGCATGTTGGTATTTAACTTTACCAGGTACCCACTTATACTCCTTGGTGGAGAGAAGCAATGCAGATAAAATGCCTTGCCCAAGGACACAAGTGAAATACACAGTGAGGGAATTGAAACCCTGACCTCAATATTGGGACCGTTTCCCCTGCACCAAACCACTTCTACTTATTGACCAAAGTCAGTGGCAATTATAGACCTTAAGGGCCCGTATATTACTCGGCTTTTTTCTGCCAGGACCATAGACCCTCCTTCAAACCATGTGTCATAAATCAGCCATGTGTTAATACATCAAAAAAGTCAGTCACCAGAGCGAACTGGAGCTTCTACCCCATACCTCTATCTGTTCCCTGCACCCAGGCCCTGGCGAAGTATGTGCTTTACAATTAATACTACCTGGAGCACTATGTGCTCCACCAGACCCTGGCAAAGTGTGTGCTTTACATTAATACTAATTTTAACAATAATAAATTTTATGCACCTGGCTGGTAAAATGACTTGGTATATTAAAATTTGACATAAAAATTATAAAATTTTACTCATCATTGAGCATTAAGAATACAGTATGACG